TCATAAGGTCGCTCTCCCTCTGCAGACAGTATATTAGACCGGTCCCTTCAGTCTGCTGTTATAAATTGGCTGTAATCGTCCGGGAATGCAGAGCTGCTATTTACTGAAAAAATGGGATCTGACTCGTCCTTTTGCTATTGGCCTGGAACAGTGTGTGTGTGTGTGTGTGTGTGTGTGTGTGAGATGACTGAACTAGAACAAACTGAATCTTCTGTGCTGCAAAAATGAATCTTAAAAAGTGAAAAACTTTATGTTTTAACTCTTTAATAAAATGTGGGTTTCACTTTGTTTCTCCCATTCAATCAAAGCCCGGTATACTGTGTGTGATTTTGGGCTGCCCCAGACGAAAGATGACCATCATGGAAGAAACGTGGCGATATCTTTGGTCGTGGCTCTAAAACACTGGTCCTACATCACACAGTCAGAGAGGTTCAAGGACAGTGACAGAAATTTGGGATGACCATCTCACTGTGTGACTGCTCTTACCACCTATGTCTATTAACCAACCAATAGAAACACAGCATGAAATGAGCCAAACAAACTAACAGACAGACAGCAGCTCACCATGGAGGCAAAACACGCTAAAACAAATGTGTGTGATTCCAACAAAGAGGAAAACCTTGTGAAGCCTTGTCTGTATGATGTGTCCTCCAGCTCTGATCAGTCTACCAGCATTTAAAGGCATGTCTCAAAACAACAACGTGTGCCGGTAGTAGGAGCAGGCTGACGGCTGAGCATGCCCACATGCTCATCTTCTTAAAAAAGAATCTCCACATCATGTTTTTTCCAAGACGAGCAAGGTAAGGAGAAGGGACACTGAGGTAGAGCAGCAACATTAAGCTTATCAATGTACCGCTGCCTCTCTGGTAGGCATAGCGTGCTTAAATAATCCTTTGCCATCTTAGTATTAGCTAATTATTAGCAAGCTACAGCTGATAATTTTAGCTAGCTAGCAATTCAGTTGTGGAGACTTGAAGGCGCGGCTGCGGAGGCAGAATGACAACGAAGGAGCGAAGGAGCGAAGGAGCGAAGGAGCGGAGGGGAAAGTGGGCCTCGTTTCCCATTTGGGGGCGTGGCTTTCAGATTATGATGCGTTGCGCTCTGTCTCTATAGCGCTCACTCAACTTTTGATTATTTTCAGACATTTTCATAATTTTTTTTGGCCATTTCATTAACTTTTGCGAAAATTTTAAGAACAATTTTTGGACATTTTCTAGCTAATGTCTGTGGAGAACTGTTTTGCCTTCAGCTAAGCCCCGCCCACCAAACATCATACAGTTTAGCTCTATGAGTAAGAATCAAGTAAAGATAAACTGACCTACATGCTGCCTTCTACTGTTTACTAACATATTCTCTGGTCTGTCTGTCTGTGACGCTGAATGTGACACCAGTAAAAACACCAGAAAGACAAACCTTTGAAAGGAGTGTATTGCCTATTTTTTGTTTTTAAAAAAAACTTACTTGTGCTAATTTCGGTGGGAAAGGTAAAGTACAGAGATGTCAAACGGTGCCTTGAGCAGCGACATCACACACTGAGGGGTGTGACAGAGTGTCAGTTTGTCACAACCTGAGAATAAGAACGAGCTGCTGTAGCTGAGCTCGTCTCAGCTCCTGTATTTACAACCCTGTCCTCTGAGTTTAGAGTCCACAGGTTGAACACAATCAGGCACAGTAAGCGTAAACAGCTGTGTGGGTTTGCAGGAGTTTAAAACTCAGCAGTGAACAATAATCTGTTTGCTTTCTCTCTCCATAAAGTCTGCTGTTTGTGCTCTTAATCCCTCGCTCCTCCAGCGTGATGTTTTTCATGAGTTGTTTTTCCCTCTTAGTGTTTCAGATTTTAGTTTCTGCGTCTTAATCTTATCTGCTGAGAGGCAGATTTATGAACTTTGGTTTTAAACACACACCAGGACTGTTTTGATTAAGTTCACATTAACAGTCAGCTGGAAAATAAAATGCACTGATGCACTTTTTTGCTTATTTTTCCTTAACAGCAAATGAGCTGCTAATAATGTGCATGTTAGTTAACAACAGGTCAGAACGCCCTGTCCTTGTGGTGTGTGTGTGTGTGTGTGTGTGTGTGTTTAAGTCTCTAATTAGAGGACTTACAGGGCTCAGCTCAGTGTGTGAGAATCATATTATGATAATTTGAGCCCAAACACAAACTGAACTCTCGTCACATTAAAACATGAAATCAAAGCTCCCTCTCAGCCTCCACCTACAAAGTCCTCACTGTGCGTTTCGTGCTAATCCGTGCTAATGCTAATCCACACGCATTATACTCTGCTGCCCTAATTAGGGAGCTATACATAATAATATTTGGCCTTTTCAGCTCTGGATAATAACGAGGATGAGCCGAGTGTAAACACACAAACCCTGCCCACATCGCGGGCCACATATTTTTTATTACTTTGCATAAAATCCTGATATAATTATAGATATGAAGATCCAGAGTGATTCAGTGCTCAAACTATCAGAGGGTGAATCAGTCGTGGATCACAGAGACATCTGATGCCCGAGGAGAGACCTCAATGCTTTATGATGATCATTCAGATATTAATTGTAAAAGAATTCATTTTAGATTTAATTTCATTAAACTTGTTTTCTATCAATTAGTATCTTTACAGGCACACGGCTGCCTTTTGTCGTCTTGTTTCAACCCTTTGAAACCCGAGCAAACTGATTTTATTTCCCTTAAAAATATGGGATGAAGGCTGTGAGCAACGAAAGAAGAAATGACCCAAAAACACGAGCAAGAAATTACAAAATATAAAAAACAGGAAATACATTTAAAAAAAAAGTTACAAAACAAAGAAAGAAGGAAACAACCTGGAAAGAGTGCTTAAAAATATAATAATGTTGTTTTAATATAAACCAGAGAGCTTTTTCCTTTTGTTATCAATTTTATATATATATATATATTCTTTTTCAATTTGTGGGACATTTCTTACCAAGTTGCTCATTGCCTTTTTCCCCATGTTTTTGAAAGAACTCACACTAATTAGCTCAGAGTTCAAAGGTTCAGATACTTGTGAAAGGCGCCTGAAAGCAGCACAAGAAAAGGAATGTTGCTCCAAGTTTCAAAGGGTTAATCAAGCATAAAACCTCCACACTGTCTTCATGAGGTTGAAGAAGTATTCAGATCCTTCTCTGAAGTTACTGTGAAAATACTCCACTACAAGTAAAAGTCCTGCATTCAGAACCTTATTTAAATTAATAATACTACTCCATAGCCATTGATAGCTTTGTCACCTTCTACCTATGCCAGTCCTCAATGCCTATGTGCAGTTTCACATAGATTGACCACGTCAGTGAGTAGAAAAACGTGGGACAGACAGAATGACTGACTGACAGAATGACACACTGACAGTTTCCCTGATTATGTACAGCATACCATACCATGACTTAGTCATACCAAACATTAGAAAACAACACCAACATTGGTCCACAGGGGGAGCCACAGCGATCGGTCGCATTTTAGCCATTTTGAAGCATTTTTCTGTTGTTATAGCGCCACCCAGTTGTCAATTAGAGTTAAATTTCTCCAGTCACCTTGAGGCGTCCTGTTCTACATATCTACCAAGTTTAGTAAAAATCCATATGGCGGTTAGGCCTAGATAAGAAAAGAGCTCTCTAGCGCCCCCATTTTGTTTGATGGGGTCAATAATGGAGGGGTCCCCTCAGATTATGTGTGCTCATATGCCTACAAAGTTGCGTGGTGATGGGTGAAACCCTTGAGATGTTATACACCTTTATGTGATGAGCCACGCCCTCCGCAATATTCATTGCCTTATAGAAGCTCAGTTTTAGTAAGTTTTCCAACTTTTGCCAAGAGGGAACTTTAGATATTGGTCCCTAGATTATGTTCACCCAGTTTCATGCAGATCGCTCAAACTTCCTAGGAAGAGATCCATTTGAAGTGTTTTTCAAAAAATTCAAAATGGCGGAAAATCTATATAAGCGGAAGTTATGGGTTGTTGAGGCAAATGTGTTCCTCATGAGGAGAGGCATCTCTGTGCAAAGTTTCATGTCTCTACCACATACGGGGCATGAGATATGCCCATTCAAAGTTTGACATTTCAATCGGTTGCTATAGCGCCCCCCTTTGGCCAATTGATGTAATATTGCTTCATTGGCATCCTCCCATGACCCTCTACCACTGTGCCAAATTTCACATGGATTGACCAAGTCAGTGAGGAGAAAAACGTGGAACAGACACACACACACACACACACAGTTTTCGTCATTATATAGTAAGATGTATCAGCAAAACGTACCTGAAGAACTTCAAGTAAAAGTACTGATACTGTAATGCAGTTTTCCTATCTGATGTTTTTGGATTAAAATTCCTGAATGTGTAAGTTACATTTTACTGTTGGATGTTGAGAGTTGTGCACATTTTAACTCCTGTGTAAAGCTGTGTTGCAGAAATATTTATTTTAGATACCTTAAAAAAAAATCAATATTATTTTAAAGCTCCAGTGTCAGATTAAGGGGGATATAATGGCAGAAATGGAATAGTATATTTCATATAAGTATAATAAGTTTGTTTTCTTTTGTGCATAATCACCTGAAAATAAGAATAGTTGTGTTTTTGTTACCTTAGAATGAGTCGTTTATATCTACGTAGTGAGCAGGTCACTGAACAAACCAAACACTGACTCTAGATAGGGACATTCACGTTGTCATGTCAGCCACCGTAGTTATCAGAGAGAAGAGACCCAGAAGTTATTGTAAAGAAACATTGTGATTTGGTTTATTAACTGTTGGGTAGTTTAATCTACAGCAATGCATCATGGTCTTTAAGATCATTATATGTCTGCGGCGTGGCTGTCCTGTGAGAACCACGTATCTCTAAAGAGTCAGAAAAACAGCCTGTTTTCAGCTTTGTGACGACTGTTGAGCAGATCCAGGAGGGTTTTAAAGAGTTTATTTAGCTGAAGAAGTAAAGACAGTAAAATGAGTCACTTCAGACAGACAGACAGACAGACAGACAGACTCACCTGAGGGTCAGACAGGTAAAGAGTCTCTGTAGGTGTTATTGTCTCTTCGTCCTCTGAACACGAATCAAATCCGTCCTGGTTGTAATAAACTTCTGCAGCCTGAGGGTCCTCTGGGATGTCTGCACACACACACACACACACACACACACACACACACACACACACACACACTTGTCCATCACTTGTTCACTAGGTTATCTTTAATTTAAAGGTCCAGTGTAGGATTTAGGGGGATATATTGGCAGAAAGAAAATATAATCAACTGAGTCTCACTCCAAAGTCGTCCAATTCCGGCGCTTGGTCAGCACTGACAAAAAAAAGCTGTCTTGTCATGTCGCCATTTGCTGTTATTGTTTAATGGCGACCGGCAGCGTCAGGGGGAAAAGTGGCGGTACAACAACTAAAGTTAAGGAGGAAATGTCTAATGTCAACTTTCAGAAAGAGGTCCGGTGTTCACTTCCTGTAAGATTGTAAAGCCAAATCCTGTTCTTTGTTCCTAAACCCAACCACGTGTGTTGTTGAGGGATAAAAACGTCAATTCACAGTGTTGTACCGGCTTTTATTTTGAAAGAGACTGTATGCAAACTGTACATTTCCTGTGAAAACAGAAGTGTATTTTGAAAACAGACAATGCATGTAACAGGCTGAAGTTGACACGGCGTCCCAGAACGTCAACAACCAACACACCCAGGGTACCTTGGACGTCATATGTGGACGTGGAAAGTCCATGACCAAACGTGGACATGTGACGAGGTCACAGTGAGGATGTGTTGGCATAATATAAGTATGTTTTTCTTTAGTGTATTATCATCTTAAAATAGGAATCATCATGTTTTTGTCGCCTCAGAATGAGCCGTATATATCTCTGCAGTCCTCATCTGCACACCTCGCCATTTTGCACCGCCATGTTTCTACAGTAGCCCAGAACAGACAAACCAAACACTGGCTCTAAAATAGGACCGTTCATGTTTTCATGACGGCCACAGCGGCCCCTCTGACGAGCCAAACAGCGCAGTAGAAGCACTGATCTGTGACCTCACTGCTCGATCTTGCACACTGCTCATTTTAAAATATCTCGTATCCAGTCAGACCCATACTACGCACACTCTCATTTACACTCAGTCACAAAAACATCATTAATCTGCAACGACCTCATTATTCACACACTGAGCTGTATTTGTGGAGGTGTACAGTATATAAAGAGCAGCCAGAACCTAAATGTGTGTGACACGCTGAGGAACTGTGTAAAATGAAGAGCAGACGTAAACGAGTCCCCGAGTCTTCAGTCTTGATGGATTTCATTTGTCACTTTTAACAGGCTGATAATTATTCCTGCTAACGAGCTCTGAGAGTTTTAAAGATGAGGATGTTTAATTCATGTGGCCCTCTGAGGGTCCGACAGAGTCTATTCTTCCCCCGTCAGCCAATCACACGGCTGGACTCAGACAGAGGGCGGGGCTCTGGGAGCAGACGCAACAGGGATTGAGAGCTGAATAAAACAAGTCCAAGACTCACATGTTGCTCAGGTCGTATCTGTTGTTATATTACATTACACTAAATGTCTCCAGACTTGGATGAGTTCAGTCAGTGCTCTACACGTGACATCAATTTGACTTGACGAGTGAAAGTAAGTGACTGGAAGCTGATTGGCTGAGCTGCAGCACCATGTGATGTCACACTGAGGCTCAGGTGTTGTGTCTGTTTGTGTTGAAGCTGAAAACATTTAGTGAGATTGTCGAGGCTGTTGAACATCACGCTAACAGTTTGTGTCTCGGAGGAGTTTCGTGTTTCGTGTTGATGCTCCTGGAGGTTGGAAACAGTCTGAGGAGCAGAGAGCTGGAGGAGAGATCTAAAATAAGACGCTGACTGTCTGAAAATAATGTCGTCAGTGAAGTTTGTTCTTAAACTAGTCGTGTCTCTGTGGACACGCTCCTGGAGGATTTTATCATTAATATAAAACAAATGATAAAGATCTGTTTGAGGATATTATCCTGTGTAAAACAAAAAATGTTACGTTAGGACCACATCAAAAAGTGAGGACAATTTTAAAGGTGAGAACATGTAAGGAATGTCAGGACTGAGGACAATTTTGGGACATTTGTAGAAACTCAGGTGACATTTTTGTAGCATGACAACATTTTGATGAGCGAGGACAACACAATGGGAAGTGAAAACTATTTGGAAAGTTACGATGTTTTTGGACGATGTCAACACTGAAAAGTTTGTAAATGTTAGGCCATTTTTTCTTAATGTGAAAATAATTTTGGTGGAAATAAGTGCTTTATTTATCAAATGGAAAGATTTTGGAAAGGAAATAAAGTAATAACTAGGCCAGCGTTGCAAAGAAAATTTTGGAAAATTATATATAAGAAAATGGAGACACTTTGGGGAAATTGGGTAATTTTGGACATTTATGTAAAGTAAGAACATATCCAACAGCAGGTTATTTTTGAAAACTGAAGCCATTTAAAGGCAGGAGGACATTTTAAATATTTCATTTTTGTAAAGTGAGCACAGCTGGAAAGTGAGGACACTTCTGTAAATGAGGACGTTTTTAAATGGAGACATTTTGGGGGAAATTAGAAACTGGGGACGTTTTGGGAAATTTTGTGAAAATGAAGACATTTTGGAGAGCGAGGGTGTCTTTCAATGTTAGGACAGTTTTGGAAAATGAAGAAATTTTTCGAAACTTATAAATATTTTTGATAAATGGGGACACTGAAGAAATTGGAAAATTTGTGAAAAAGTTTGTAGAGTGAAGATCTTTTGGAAAGTGAGAACACTTTAGTGGTGTGAGGACATTTCCTAAGTTCACTCACATGAAGCTCAGCTTAAGTTCAATCAGGAAGACCTTTCTCGTGCTCACCCTTTCACATTTCTCCATCCCACTCTCACTACTCCCTCCAATCAGCTGACTGTGGGTGTTCACTCCTCTAGTTATCCAATCACACTTTGCCACGATCTCTCAGCCAATCAGGATGCCGCTGCAACATTTTAAACCTGCTCTCTCTCTTCTGCTGCTGTCAGCCATCATTTAGGCAGAATCTTCGCACCCTCCTCCACCCTGGTCACCTCCAGCCATCGTATCCTGAGTCCAGGACGAGTTCTCAAAGACTCATTTCTCTACTCATCCAGATCATCGGCACTTCTCTATCTTCCTCTCATCTCATCTCATCTTCATCACCTCTACCACCACCAGCGTCTAGACCCCGGGGGGGTTCCCTGTTCGACTATGGATTCATCACCCTCCTTAAATCAAACCATCTCTACAGGGTCTAATCGCCAAAGACTTTCCACATTCTTATTCATTTGTTCACATGTTAATAAATGTTCTTTTACCATAAAAACGTGTCTCTCCTGTTTGAACTGGAAAGTGAGGACATTTTTGTAAATGAGGACATTTTTTTCAAAGTGAAGACATTTTTAGTGGAAATGACGCTATTGAAAAATAAATTATTTAGAAAAGAGTGACACTGTCTGGACAGAGGATGTTTTTTAAAAGTGAGGACTTTTTGTAAAAATGAAAACATTTATGGGGAGCCAGGGCGTCTTTCCAAATTGGGATAGTTTTGAAAAGTGAAAACAATTTTGGAAAATTATAGATATTTTGGGCTAAATGGGAAAACCTGGCGGGAGAACTGAGTAATTTGGGGAGATAAAAACATTTTACACAGTCTTGAAATTTGTGTAGAGTGAGGACATATAACAAGTCACAAGTCAACAAAAAGGGAAGAGACTTTAGAGGCGTGAGGACATTTCTCAAAGTGAGCACAATTTTACAAAGTGAGGCTTTTTGGAAGCTGAAGACATTTCTGTAAAAAAATAAAATAAAAAAATAAAAAAAGGACATTTGTGGAAACCAGAGCATCTTTTCATCATGAAATGTTTCAAAGTGAAGACTCTTGTGCATCTTCTGTTAATTTAACACTGCGTGGGCGACCAAACTGGTTTCCCCTTTGTGGATTAATAAAGTCATCTAATCATTTCATGTTTTAAAGTGAGGACACATTTGAAAAGCAAAGATATTTTTTTAAAGCGAGGACATTTTGTGCGGCCATCTGTTTTAGGCTTCAGGTTTGTTCTGTGTTAACGGGGGTCCTCACAGGGATAGAAGCAGAAACTAATTGTGTTTTGTGTGTGAGAAAACGTGAAATTAAAGTCACTGAAAAACATTTCTAGCATGACGACATAAAATTTTAATTTCTTCCCAAACTGAGCTTTTATTTTTCATTTGAGCATTTGTCTCTGAGCAACAGGAGAAACTCTGCTCTCAGGTTTCATCATGTGTCCCAGAGCAGTTTGATGCAATCAGACTTCTGTAAACTCAGTAATGAGCTAAAGCGCTCATCAGTGCTTCCCTCCGACTTTAAATCCATGTGGAGCTTCACTCAGAGCGTCTGTTTGTCTGTTTGTCAGAGTCTTGAACATGAACTCACCTGTTCACCTGTCGGACTCACTCAGTCACACAGAGCTGATCACATCAAACTCTGAACATGAATGTTAAATTAATTTTAGATGAGACGTTTGTTGTGACTGCTGGAGGGAGGAGAACAGACCGACCCTGTTTCTCAGAAATATAACAACATTAAATTAACTTTTGTTTTCATCATGTGAATCTATATTTCCTGTGTTTAAAGGCCCTCCAGGCTCCTCACAACTCACAGGAAAAAATTACATCTGCATCCTCAGAAAACTTAAAACAAGTAGCTGTTTTCAGTCCAATAACAGTTTAATAGAAAGTCTTTTTGTACTAAATATGAATTTATTTTGGAGCTACCTGCAGGAGCGTCTGGCTGGCTTCTGTTCTCCAGCTGTGAGTTTCACACATTTAACGTCTCAACAAACTTGAAAGGATTCATTTCATAATCAAGCCTGTTAGATCTCACATCAGTGGAGCCCAAACTGTGGTCCTGGGACTCTGAGAGGCCTCCAGGGACTTTGAGAAGTCTCCAGGAGACTCTGAGGTCCCCAACGAAACATCAAACACTCTGATTTCACCTCATTTCAGATGTTTTTTTGCATCAGACTTGAAATTTAGACAAGAAAAAGTTTGGACAGGAAACAAATGAATCTGAGGACATTCACTCAAGTTCTGTACTATAGTAAGTGTTTCAGGTAT